TAGACACACCTAAAATTGGTGTTTTCTAAAACTGCATTAACATATGAAAGAGATATTTAAATAATAAATGTTATTGGTAAAGAGCTGGGAATACTGCCTCTGGAGTTTGAATATGCAGAAGTGGAAAGGCAGTAGAACAGATCACTGCTTTTTTCTACATAGACACTTTAAAAGAATAGTTTATTAATGTCCACAATATAATTTTGATTTTTAAAAAGCTCAAACTTAAAAGGATACATTTAATATGATGTCTGCAAAAGCGTATCTTCTTAAATCACAAAGCGCATCATCTTAGCCTAAAGTCCTCTAGAAAACAGAGCCTACAGCAAAGCTGGGAGAGAAATGCTTTATTTGAAGACACGTAAGCAAACACAGGAGGTGACAGTGAGGGGAAAAAGGGGTGAGGGAACACGAGATGTGAACCAATGTGATATAATACAGTACCATACTAACTACCATTTCACATGAGCCACAGAGATGTGAAAAAAGGTCAGTCACCATCAGGAGAAAGTGCAACATCTCCCAAAGGGCCACAGGAGGCATTTCATAGTAAAGCCTTTCACTGGCTCCCCTGCTTCCTGTTTCACTCCCTGTGGCTCATTCCTGCCACCTCCCATCACACTTTGAATAGACTGTTTGCATTTAAGTCATTGTTTCATGCTCTGCTTTTCCAGGGCTAAGACAGTTCCCCAGAACTTCTTGAATTCTTGCAAATTCTAGGCCTTGGAAAAAAGTGCATGATTGAATACGAAGACTGAAGATTATCTTCTTCCAGAGAGATTTAGAGACATGCCAAGATAGAGAAAAGAAAGGTCTTTCCTTCCGGGCATTTTTGCTTACATTTCAGGATACTAAATCTTGTAATCCTTTCTCAGCTACACCAGAGGAGACCTTCTTACTCTCCAGGGTAATGAATAATCTCTCTCCAGAATGGAAGCTAAGAACATCACCAACAGTCCCAATTAAAGCTCAGAGTCTCCTTAGATTGAGATTTCTTCTCCTGTGGTACAACCCACTGCAAATGGAAATAATTGTCAGGCTCATCTTTTCACCCTCTGGTAACATGAACATGAGAAGCTGGTGTAAGTTATTTCTCTGGCTGCTATGTTTTGCTGAGGGCAAAAAGAATTCTCTCTGTCTGACCCAGAGAACTTCTCTGTTACTCTGTGTGTGTGTGTCAGATTCTGCGACCCCATAGACTGCAGCACACCAGGCCTCCCTGTCCATCACCAGCTCCCAGAGTTTACTCAAACTCATGTCCATTGAGTCGGTGATGCCATCCAACCATCTCATCCTCTGTCATCCCCTTCTCCTCCTGCCCTCAATCTTCCCCAGCATCAGGATCTTTTCAAATGAGTCAGCTCTTCACATCAGGTGGCCAAAGTATTGGAGTTTCAGCGTCAGCATCAGTCCTTCCAATGAATATTCAGGACTGATTTCTTTTAGAATGAACTGGTTGGATCTCCTTGCTGTCCAAGAGACTCTCAAGAGTCTTCTCTGACACCACAGTTCAAAAGCATCAATTCTTCAGTCCTCAGATTTCTTTATAGTCCACCTCTCACATCAATACATGACTACTGGGAAAACCGTAGTCTTGACTAGACAGACCTTTGTTGGCAAAGTAATGTCTCTGCTTTTTAATTTGCTGTTTAGGTTGGTCATAACTTTTCTTCCAAGGGGCAAGTGTCTTTTAATTTCATGGCTGCAGTCACCATCTACAGTAATTTTGGAGCCCAAAAATATAAAGTCTGTCACTGTTTCCAGTGTTTCCCCACCTACTTGCCATGAAGTGATGGGACCAGATGCCATGATCTTCATTTTCTGAATGTTGAGCTTTAAGCCAACTTTTTCACTCTCCTTTTTCACTTTCATCAAGAGGCTCTTAATAGTTCTTCTTCACTTTCTGCCATAAGGGTAGTGTCATCTACATATCTGAGGTTATTGATATTTCTCCCGGCAATCTTGATTCCATCTTGTGCTTCCTCCAGCCTAGTGTTTCTCATGATGTACTCTGCATATAAGTTAAATGAGCAGGGTGACAATATACAGCCTTGCATTGCTGGGAGAACACCATGAACAGTGTGTGTGTGTAAACTGGCAAATTATCAGACTCTTTACAGTTTCTGAACTAACAGGTTATTAGAACCCCTCTTACCCTTAAAAGGGCCTGACTTCTATTATTTAACGGAAATATATTAAATTCAAAAATCTTTGCCTCACAAAGAAAACCTGCTTAACTGCATGTTAACCTCCAGTCTAACTACTACTGACAGCTGATCTATGTATTCACAAGAAGTAGACTTCTCCAACACATTGATTTTGAACAATTTTGTCACTAGGGTGATATAATGGAAAGAGCATGGCCTTTTGAGTTAGATAGTTATCTATTTGAAATATATTCCCAGTATGAAATAGCTATGTCACCTTGAACAGTTTACTTACATTCACTAAGCCCTACTGTCTGAGCAGGTGAAATGTATCCCTGAATTAAAGAAAGGATTAAGGAGCAACTGGCAACAAACAACTGTAGAGAAACCTGCAGAGCACCAAATAGTCAGTACTTTAAAAATGCTAATTCCCTTCCCTTTGAAGACTACTACTAGGTGTTTAAAACTAGACTGTACATTCCACATATTCTTTTGTATTTTAAATAAATCATTCACCCAAAAAAAGGTTTAAGGGAATTTATTTGCTACCAGTTGGAGAGAACCTCTTAGAGTTATCATTTATAGTCATTTGAGCACTATAGAGTCTAGTCTAGTCTGGCTTGGACATTTTTGTTGTTTTCTTTTACTGACAGAGTAACCAAAATTTAGAGAAATTGAAATTCTTTGGTAAAGAAGAAAGCACAGTAATATGAATAATGTCTCTTCTGCAGTTAGTTACTTATTTAAAAATATAAAAAATCTTTGTGATAGTGTAATCAGAAGACAGTGTCTACAGAAATAACTTTCTATGTACCATGAAATCACCTATCTCCTGCTTTTTGATACTGTACTATTCCCTAAAGAAGGATAAATCAACATTTAAAAGCATATTACATATAAATAGAACATCTGTCAAAAGCTGTGCATATACATGAATACTATCGATATATATCATTCAGATTTTTCAACTTGTTGCATTTTTAAACTCATGTTTTAAATGAGAAGAGTATGTTAATCAACAACTCACACTAGTGTTTTCACTTTTACTACATATTACTTTTAATTCCTGTAAAATGTTATTAGCTTCATAGAGAAATTATGAATATAATTTTTTTCACTGTGCCATCAGGAAGATAGGATGAGCAAAACTTTTCAGACAACAAAGCAATTAGCATTATAGCAAGTTCAGCTCTTGAAAATACCTAATTTTTGAATTAAAACTCTGCATCAAAAGTTTCTTTAAAGAAAATATTCTTGATTTTTATTCTATTATTATTTTATAATAATTTTAAAACCTATTGTTATTGCTTTTTCTAAGATTTATTCATTTATTCATTCATTTGTTTTTGGCTATGCTGGATCTTCATTGCTGCACACGGGCTTTCTTTCGTTGTGGTGAGTGGGGACAATTCCCTAGTTCTGGTATGCGGGCTTCTCACTGTGGAGGCTTCTCTTGTGGAGCACAGGCTACCGGGCACTGGCTCAGCAGCTGTGGCCTATAGGCTTACTGGCACTGTGGCACGTGGGATCTTCCCAGACCAGGGATTGAACCCATGTCCCCTGCACCGCAGGCTGATTCTTAACCACTAGACCACCAAAGAAACCTTATTGTCTTTAATTAACGTGATTTTTAACCTTTTTTTGGCTAAAACTATAACTATCTCATATGAACTCAGAAAGTTCCCAGAGTTGATTTGACATCATTAGAGACTGGAAGAAAAAAAAAAAAAAAATGACTTCTTGATTTATTCCCAGAAAACAGTAAATCTTTCTCATCAATCTAAACCTATTAGTGATATAATTATGTATACAATTTTTTCACTTATGTTTATTATCTGGAGGGAAAGTGATACAGTTTATGGGCCATATTGGCTACAGAAACATTTTTCATTAGAAATCAATTGTCTCCACTGTTGGCATATGTGGTTATAGATCAGCAAAACAAGTACCAGCAAACTAGAAGCTACTTGGTAAAGTGTGATCTGTGCCTCAGAATTATATCTTTTTTCTTATGGTTTTTTCATGGGGAATTGAATTCCATGTTAGCTCCAGAAAATGTGTTTGCCATTTTTATAGACCTTTAGGGAAAATTATAGAACACCTTTGTGTGACTTTCTGTAGAAATGGTTCATTATAACCAGAGAGAATGACAGTCTTTTATTCAGTCTAATGATGTTACATTTTATGAGATTTCAAGTCAATGGAATTATCTTTGATGCCAGATGTTACTTATGAAGCAATCGGTGATCTATCTTAATCACAGATTAGTCATCTATGAAAGTATGATGTCTTTCCAATGATGTTCTCTGTAATAAGAACTAAGACAGGGAGAAATAAATGCAATCCATGATAAATAGTCATCCAGGATCTTTCATTAACACATGAAAGAAGGGAGGAGGAACACTGGCAGGAATCTATATGATGTATAGTAGCTAGTTCTGATTCCTTAACAGAAAGCAGATAAACCACACCTTCTTGATACATGAATTCCTGAATGCTTGAGTATAAATTAAGCAAAACCTTTAATCCTACAACATTACTCCCACAAAATGAAGTGCTTCACATATCAGACATCTTTTTGTCTTCTTGAAGATACCAAATTCTCTCACATTCATTGACTCCACTTTAAACATTTTCCAGAGCAAAACATGAAAAGTGCAAAAAAAAAAAAAAAATGGTAGCAGAAACACATGTAGCTTCCAAAAAGGATTGGTACTGAAGTCTATTTCCACATCACTGATTTAGAATGCATTAATAGGAGCAAACTCCCGTGGCGGGGCGGCTGCAGGGTCTCCCAGCAGGGCTCAGGATGGCGGAGAGGACGACGGGGGCCTGCAGAATGACACGTCTCACATGGCATTTGAGGAGCTGTTAGAATTGCAGAGTCAAGTGGGGACTAAAGCCTACAAACAATTGGTAACAGGAAGCAGCACTAAGAAGCAGAGTTCTAGACCACCTGTCCCAAAAGCATGTGTTGCAGATAAGCACAGGCCTCTGGAGATGTCAGCCAAGGTCCGGGTGCCATTTTTGCGACAGGTTGTCCCCATCAGTAAGAAGGTAGCCCGGGACCCCCGCTTTCATGATCTGTCAGGGGAGTATAGCCCTGAGGTGTTCGATAAAACATATCAATTCCTAGATGACATCCGAGCCAGAGAGAAGGAGCTGGTGAAAAAGCAGCTGAAGAGGCGCCGTTCAGGGGAGGAGCATGAGAAACTACAGCAGCTGCTTCAGCGAACGGAGCAGCAAGAAATGGCACCGAAGAGCCAGAGCGGCAGCAGGAGCTGCGCCTGGCCTTGCAGCAGGAGCGGCGGGCTCGGGCCCAGCGAGGCCACCGGCCATGCTTCCTGAAGAAGGCTGAGCAGCGCCAGCTGGTCCTGGCTGAGACGTTTAAGGAGCTGAAACGAAGCAAGAAGCTAGAGAGCTTCTTGAGTCGAAAGAGGCGCCGAAATGCAGGCAAGGACAGACGGCATCTCCCTTTGAGCAAAGAGTAGTAAGGAGCTGTGCTCAGCTCTGCTGCTGCCCCAGTGAGAAGTGCATCTGTGGGGACACCTTGTGCTTGGCCTGTTCTGGTTCTTTCCCATTCCAGGGCGAGGGTCACAGCTGCCTTGGAACTCGACTAGCTCAGAGATGACTCAAAGCCTCTTGGACTGCCTGAGGGCTGAAAAGGAGGAAGCAGCTGAGCCTTCTGCCATGCCACACTTCCTCTGCTTGCATCTGGGTCATCGTCCTTGTGTCCTTCTCCCATCCTTGCCTTAATGATTCTGATATAGATGGAAAAGGACCTTGAGGCTGGTTGAAGGCCATAGCGTCTGTGAGTGGCTCCCAGGACTGGGACTTCATGCAGGAGCCAGATCATAAACACTTCTGTGTCTCATCTTTTTATCCTGCTGCTTTTGTGGGTGGCCTAGAACTACTGTTTCAGGGGCCACATGTGGGTGGGCAGTAAACCTAAGGGTCCTACAAAGTGGGAAGTCAGATCAAAGCCCCTTCCTCCTTCAGCCGGACAGATGACACCATCATTCAAAGAGGGACCCAATCCCACAGCTCATCTTCTTAGCTTTGGTTTTGGATGCAAGAGGAGGTAGGAGGTGGGGACAGAAAGTGTCCCTGGTGATAGGTAAGTGCAGCTGGCTCTCAGTATTGTTTGGGTGGAGAATTCATACTGCCTGTGGACTAGGGTATTTTCACGCTACAAGTCAGTTTAAAGTGGTCTCTGGTTGGGAGTGCCTCCAGGTACCTGGCAGAAGCAAATGCATTCCTCTCTCTCTCTTTTTAAAATACTTATTTTGGTTGTGTTGGGTCTTAGTTGCTGTTCACAGGGTCTTTGTTTCAGCACGCAGATTCTTAGTTGCAATATGCAGAATCTTGTTTCCTGGCCAGGTCGAACTTGGGAGAGTGGGGTCTTAGCCCCTGGATCACCAGGGAATTCCCAAAATGCATTTCTCTCTTGAGGATTGTACTTTAAACCCAGACTTCAAGGAATTCCTTCAGATAAAATTTCAAGGAATATGAGTTTACAGTGAAAACAAGGTACAAAAGGAAAAAAAAAACAACGCATAAGTAAGAGTCATTAGGAATAACAGGCAACAGAATCAGACCAGCAAAGTCTGAGATTTTGGAAATGTAAAATACAAAAATATAAAACGTCTTATTTATGTTTAAAGAAGAGCTATGACTGATGAAAAAAATGTATCAAAAAGGACAAAATTGGTTTGATTAAAAAAATTTTTTAATGAAAAATTTAAAAAAAAATAGAATGCATTAATATGTTTATTCTGCAGATACAGTGATCACATTCCCAAACTAACTCAAAAAAAATCCTAATTCCCAGTAAACTTTTTGCTAATTATTATCTTTTGTTATTTCTTAAAATGAATTATAAAGAGTAACCACTATATCCTTAAATTTCCAATATATATTTTCCCATACTGACTGACAGTTATTTGTGTACATGTCAATTCTCTCCCAAATGAAGTATCTTAAAATGATCAAAGTCGGGTAAAACCAAAAAAACTTTTGAACAAGAAAACTGCTAAAAAATAGTTATATTGAAGATGAATATAAAATCACTTTAGAGAAGACCTTTTTAACTCTTAATCACTTAATTAGCCTCTATATTAAACAATTACAAAAACAGCTATTTCCCCAGGGAAGTGTCTAACAAAACCTGCGTGGCCTGACAAAATTCTGCTTCTTGCAAACACTTTAATTTAGATTTGGTTCTTGCGGGAAATTTACGTAGAGGTCAAGGAGACTTTGAGAAAGGGAATCACATCTTTTTCCCTAATTTTCAATTTAATATTAGCTCTGATGGATTGAGATGGTCTCAAGAGAGAACTGCTAATGGGGAAAAGAAAAACAGACTCCAAAAGGAACCACAATTGAAGAACGAAGTCAGAACCAAGAACTCAGGCTCAACACCTAAAGCTATGAAGTTGATAAAGAAAGGTTAATTCTGTTCCCCTCATAAAATGGTCAATGTTTGAGAAGTTTGCCTTAATGAAAACAAGTTTAAGTTTTACATGCTATAATTCTCAGAACCCAACAGTGTGCAACTATTGGGGCCAGGGCAGCAATTGGAGCCACTGAGCTTTTCATCACAAAGTGGACAAGGTTGTGTTCATCTATGATGTTTAAATTTTTAACCATGCTAGCAGCAAAGGGCCACCTGACATTTGAAAGCAGCACTGACTTCTTTTGACTAAATAAGTACCTCATTTGCTTAGACAACTTGAAAGAGAAAATCGTCAAAAAGGCAATAACAGATTCTCCTAATAGGGCCAAAAGTTTGCATCAAATAATTGGGGCAGGGAGAAATAGACAGCGATGTAATAAAATTCTGATCCCATACCTTAAACATTTTTTAATTAAATATTTGGTCTTATAATTCTACCATTAACTTATTTATTGAATATTGCTGTTTGAAAAGCAACTTAAATATAATAAAAGGAGATAAGCAAGGATTTTGATTTGTGGAGATTCAGACTGGGAACATTATAGAATTTTTAAAAAGCTGTATTTAATGATAATGATTCATTTTGATGTCTCTGCATATTAAGATTTATAGGCTTTCCCTCCTCACTGTTGTATTTTTAATACTAGTACTATATTTAGTAATTAGAACTTCCATATGAAATTGTTACTGGAGATGGTTTTCCTGAAATAAGTAACCAAAAATAAGGGGAGTCAGAGAAAGGAAGATGAAAGTGAAAGTCTATGTATACATGTGAGCAAAAGATGTTTGGATAAAAATGCACTAAGCTTTTGCAAGTAAAAGAGGAATTTGGCAGTATGAAAGGCAGCCAAATAGATTCCTCAAGAGTGAATGATTACTAGCATTTCCACACATGGCTTGGTGATGGGTATTTTTATACCAACTTTTCCACTGAGAACATTTGGAAAAACCAAGATAATGTTTCAAAATTTGTTGGAAGATACTACAGAGCCATTGTAGTTGAAGAATTTGGGGGGCAAAATCCCAGGCGGGAGGGGAAGCATAGAAACCTGGTATTTGACCCTACTGATCCTCAATAACCATTTGCTGCATAATAAGCTGTGGCCTATGTCCAGGCTGCAGGAGAGTAGAAAGCAGTGGCGGGGAAGCTAAGCAGACTTGGGGTAACCTCGTGGAAGGTTGAATAGCTCTGAAGTAGGCTCGAGAAGGGACCTCTCTGGTGGCTCAGCTCAGATGGTAAAGAATCTGCCTGCAATGCAGGAGACCCATGTTTAATCCTGGGTCAGGAAGATCCCCTGGAGAAGGGAAAGGCAACCCACTCCAATATTCTTTCCTGGAGAATTCCATAGACAGAAGAGCCCGGCAGACTACAGTGCCTGGGTTCGCAAAGAGTGAGACGTGACTACTAAGCAACTAACACTTTTACTTTTTTTTTCCAGGCTCAGGAAGCATCAAGGAGGATCATACAAAACACCCTAAGATTCTTGCTGTGACCCCTCAATGGCTGTATTGTAGATGCAGAGCTAATTAAACGTCATCCTACCTTTAGAAAAACTGAAATAAGGTTATCGATCTGCATGTTCCCTAACAGTTTGCCAGAAGTAACAATAAGTTCTTTCCAAAGGCAGACAAGATTATTCAGGGCCATAAAGAGCACCAATATAATTACAACATCCAGCATTTAACCAAAAGCTACCCAGCATATCAGACAATCAGATCAAAATACTAAAAACCAAAAGAAAAAAGAGATAATAGGAACATGCCCACAGAAGATCCATATACAGGTTTCCCCACTATCCAAAAGTAGAGCGTTTCTGTGAAGCTAAAATAGCAAAAGTCACAGAAGCAGTTTCCTTAGGATGCATCTTGCTAATGGATGCACAAGATATATCGAGATAAAGCACAGAGTTCTCAGAAACAGCTTGATGCTGAGATGCTGGGTGTAGTTCCCCCGGAAGGAACTCGGTTATACCATCTCACTGCTAGGGGCGCATACTGCTTTTACAATGGCAAAACAAATGCTGAGAACTACTTTTCCCTTTTGCCTGTTTTTGTGAAAGCAAAGTCCTCTTCAGATTTCTTTCTATTAGCAAAAGCAGGTACTAGTTCAGATCTTTTATAAAAGCGAAGTAGTGTAAACTTTCCAAAATAGGTGAAATCTGTATCAAAATTATTAACTATGAAATTTTAAATGTGTGATATTTAAGGAAAAAAAAGTTGGAAAATCAGCAGAAATTTAGAAACTATATTAAAGAACCAAACGAAAATTCTCCAACTAAAATTTCAGTAACTGAAATTAAGAACTTGAATTGATTTAATAGCAAATTAGACAGACAAAGCTGAAGTGAAGAAAACAGGCCAGTAGAAAATATGTATACTGAAATAGAGAAAATAATGGAATATACAAAAAAAGATCATAAATGAAATATAGCACATGGTAAAAAGCTCCAACATATGTGCAGTTAGAACCCAAAGACCATATAGAAAGATTAGGCCAAATATTTTAGAAAATTGCAGAAGACACAAAGCCTCAGATTTGAGATTTACTATTAGTTTTCTTGATACTTAAAGTATCTTGTATTCATTCACAAGGCAAATATTTTTAAATTATGCTTCTGTAGAGTAACAGTCATACCAATGACCGTTGTTCTATGGACTTTACACTGATTAATTCACTTAATGCTCACAAGAACTCTACAATGTAGCTCTCTTTATTATTCTGATTTGCAGTTAGGAACTGTGGTTCAAAGGATTTAAGTCATTTCTGATGGTGTGGCAAAATCAGGATTCAAATCCTGACACCTACTTCTTGAGTCCAGCACCTAACCACGATGCTTATTTTAATGTATGATGAATGACATTTTTATATGAAAATTTTTATCAAATCCTTCCC